CCATGGTTATCGGATTTGAAAAGATTACATAACACTCTCCTTTTGGCCTCATCATATGAGAAGACTTTATTTTGATAGGAGTATCTGGAACATTTTACCTAATGCATAGCTTCTACCATACCTTTTAATTCGTAATTCACAAGATTCTGACTATTATGGAGTGCTATGGCAATTCTGGATGGCACAGAATTTTTTTTTTATAGTTGCCTTCGAACTGCCAGCATCAATGACCTAGTCATTCTTTTACTTGTGGTTATCATAGAATCAGCAGCATAGAATCATTTGAGTTGAACAAGGACCTTCAAAGGTCATCTCATCCAACTCCCCTGCAATGAACAGGGACATCTACAGCTAGATCAAGTTGCTCAGAACCCCGTCCATCCTGACCGTGAGTGTCTCTAAGGATGAGGCATCTACCACCTCTCACAGCAGCCTGTTATATTGATACTTGCCTCCTATGTTGTTGAAGATCTTGTGTCCATTCTAAAATGTCTTTCGGTCCATTCTGCATTTTCCCAACAGGTATTGGCATAGCACAGCTGCTTATACAATAGCCACTGAAACAGATGGTAACATCCAAAATCTTCCACCAGATCATGATGCTGTGTATAAGTGGCCTGAAGACCTGCTCAAACCCGATCTTGTTCTTCTTCTAACTGTCAGCCCTGAGGAGCGAGCCCGTAGGCTTGAAGGTCGAGGCCTGGAGAGAACAAAGGAAGAGGCTGAGCTGGAAGCTAACAGCTTGTTTCGCCAAAGGTATACCTTAATGAAGGGTAAGAGGATGGAAGCAGTCTTGGTTCCTGTGAAATCAGTAACAGAATGTTTAGCTTTTGTTACTGGGACGAGGATTCCTGTATCTCTACATTTTGTGGAGGCTTTTTTGGTTTTGTTTTTGTTATTTGGAAAAGATTCATGGCTGATGAGGAGGGTAAATTTTATCATTTCTAATTAAACATGTTTGAAAGCTACAGGTGAATAATTTCAGTCTCCTATATAGTCAACACAGTCAGTGCCACCTTCAGTGTGATTCAGCTGAGCAGATGCTAGGAAACTAGTGATCCAAGCATAAATATCTAGAGTAATCTGATGTGTTCTAGGGCATCTTCAAGAGGCTGACAGATATGACACACAACCTGTGCACCCTTTCTGGGTCAGCAGTTGGAAGCTAAATGAGATCAGACTACATCGTCTCAAGCAGCACTTGAAACACATGTTTAGGCATCTGAATTGCACCCTAGATATCCTACTTAGGGTGAGCTGAATTGCTGTCTAGGCACCTCCAAATGTATTGGTGACATCATCATTTTCTGCAGTGGGAGCTTGAATAACTAGTGCTCTTGTATGTACCTCCACATCAACACCTGGATGTAGGTGTCTATATACACAAATCTCAAAGCTGAAACTTACCTCTAGACTTTTAGCATTTATATTGATGGCACATATTAAAAAATATATTACCTAATTTTGACAGAAGCACTGTGCAGACATACAGTGGGGCCTGTGTCAGGATAGGTGTACTGAGAGAAAATGATGCCATTTAAATATCATGGGATCATAGAATTGCTCAGGTTGGAAAAGACCTTCAAGATCACCAAGTCCAACCACGTCCTAACCATACTGCCCTAACAACCCTCTGTTAAATCATGTCCCTGAGCACCACATCCAAATGGTTTTCAAACGCATCCAGGGATGGTGATTCAACCACCTCCCTGGGGAGCCTATTCCAGTGCTTAACAACCTTTTCTGTAAAGAAGTATCTCCTGATATCCAATCTAAACTTCCCCTGACTCAACTTAAGGCTCCCCTTGTCCTGTCACCTGCCACCAGTGAGAAGAGACCAGCCCCACTCTCACTGCAGTCACCTTTCAGGTATTTGAAGAGAGCAATAAGGTCAGGTGTTAGAAGCAGAATGCCCTATTCTGGACAGTTTCTAGAGCTAAGCCATAAAGAAAGAAATATATCAGTGACATGCCATGTGAATATTGATATGGGTCTGGCAATCATTGTCAAGGAAACTATGCAGTCTCAGGTTTTCCTAATAGTTCATTGCTCTTTGCAGTAGATTTCATACTTAGCTTCATATTACATTTTTTTCCATTGCTTTTGCAGTGCCAGCACTTTCTTCTGAGACCGATGACTAATGCCATTTCACATTCCTGCAATTTGTTTTGTTGCTCTTGTTTTGTTTTAAAATAGAATTGAAGAGTCGTACAGAAGGATGGTGAATCCTGCATGCCAAGAGGTTGATGCCAGTCCCTCCAAGGAAGAGGTTTTCAAGACAGTGCTGCAACTGATTAAAAAACACTGTGCCTTGTGAAAGCAACTTCTTTTTATTAACACTTAAAATCTACTTTTTATTGTCCCTTTATTTGTGCTAGCTCAAAATGCCCTATGTTGTTCTTTGTTCCCTGGAAGAACCTTTTATTTCTCCTCTCTGACACTGTGACACTTCAAGATCCTGTCAGATTGTATCATCATCGTCATGAGAACTTGTTCCTGCCTTCACTGTGTATCAGAATTCACTGATTGCAGCAGGAGCATAAGACGTACAAGGAGAGGATAAAATGTAATCCAGCAGTAAAGCAATGAGATGATCATAACTTTCTGGAACAGCCTGATGTTGCTTACTGTAATAAAGGATGAGCTGCTGTGATGAGCTTCCTGTAAGAAGTGTTTCATAAATACAGGCTAGTAAGTACCTGGGACTCTAAGGAATACAGTTCATGCCTGTCAACGTATGCAAATGAAATGTAAATTCATTTCGGAGGGAAAAAAGAGAACACAGACATGTTAGAAGCAGAGACCTGAAAAGAACATGAGATTAAAAGCATTGGTTAAATGATTCTTAAAATATCTTTCTACAAAGTATTTTCTCTATCCTATAGGTTTGTCAGTGTAAGTTTGTGTTCTTTTTGAGAGAATGTGAAATGACAAAATGCAGGGAATTGGAGCAATGAGGATGATGGCACTCCAATTTTACTCATAAGTTGTTTTGTTTTTTTCCCCACATGTTGAATACAGAAGCAGGCTACCAGCAAGACTTCAACCCTGCAAAGTCTTATTTTTTATGTATGTTTGTTTCACTGTTACTCATAACTATGAAACAAAACATATGGATAAGCCTTTGGGGGTGTCAGAAGTGAACTGCAGTTCCAGAAAAAAAAAGAAAAAAACACTAATAAAATGCAATTTGATTTAAAACACTATGGTTACTTTGCTGTGTTATACAATATAATTATGAACAAATCCAACTTGTAAATTAAAATGAGTAGTATTGCTTTGGTTATATCCAATCTTTATATAAAAGACGATAAAATAACTTCCAAACCCAATGATTTTAACGTAAATAAGTTTTATTGAACTCTTTTATCTTTGTGAGTATATGCTGTTAATGTAATGTATTTTTACATACTGATAATGTATGCTGCTGTGTTTGGTGTGTTATTCTGAATAACAGTAGCCTTGGGATCTGCCACGCATGTAGGCTGGAAATGCATCCTTGTGGGCGATACACTTATGAAGCATCCAGGTATTCAGTTATTCTCAGATAATCACTGAATTCCACATGTGGAGGGCATCACTGTGCATGGATCGCTAGGCTACCAATAAATAATGCACCTGACATAAGCATTCTCTGGCTTTTCCAGGTGAGAAAGCACCTGGCCCGAAGAACACTGAACATTTCATACCAAGCAAAAGTTTTATCTGCTTACTGAGTTGTGAACTGTTTTGCTGGGAAGTTTAATGGCCACAGGAGGTCAGGGTTTTTGTTTAGGTGCTTAAAGATCTGAAGTTCCAAACAATATTACCCAGATTGAGGAATTTAGGCTAAATCTTGGTAGATCAAATTGGTTTTTTGTGTATCTTTGAAACATGATTCAAGAAAGACTGTGGATAGGCCCGTGTCATAATGCTGGCCAGTGACCACGAGCCCTTGCCAGGCAATCCCAAGCATGTTCATCCTTCAGCATCTTCATTTATTTACCGCTGGCGAAGGTTGTCAGCCTAAGGGTAAAAGATATGCCAAAGAATGTTTGCTTTATTACTACCCCAGTACATATAGCAATTTGTTAATTTACTTATTTACTAATGTAGAACAGGCTTTAGGACATGGTATTGCAAAGATCCTGCTGCCAGGAAAGTACATGCACAAAAACTTAAAATTAAAAAGTTAAAAAAACTTTGAAATTCTTTGAGGTACTGCTTTAAAGTCAGTGAATTCAGCCCTTACTAAAAAGCAAACATATTTGTAAAGTTCAAGTGTTTCCTTAGGTATAAAATAATACTTCTATTGGCTCGAGTTAAAATTTTGTTTTGCTTTGTTTTGTTTGTTTGTTTTTGTTTTGTTTTGTTTTGTTTTGTTTTTTGGTTATTGAAAACATCTCTGAGAGTTTTATGTGAGAGACTTTTGCTTGACACTGTATTGCATTGCATTGTGTAGTACCCACCACAGTATTTTAAGCACTTTTTTTCTATTTTGATGTAATTTACTGCCTTTTTGTGTGTGTTTATTTATTTATTTGTTGGCAAAGAGTGGATCAGAAGTTTACGTAAGGTGGTATTCAGTTTCTTTAGCACAGACATTGTGGGCCTGTTCATCTCCCTGAGGTTGCTGAGTTGTCTGTGCAGAGCTGCCAGTCATGACACAAGGCATTTGGGTGAGCTGTTCATCTGTAGAGTGGCAGCTGGAGGCCTGCAGGGATACCATATGGTGCCTAAAATGGCACTGCTCGCACTTTAAAGCAGTGAGAGGTTAGAAAACAGTGACATAGCCTGCTTCTCTGTGCCTGTATTAGCAGGTGGCATGGAATGAGGAGTGCAGCTCCCAGTGTGTACCTTACAAGTATTTTGATGATTCATTTCAGATGAGATCCAATCTTGTCACATGGGCTGGTCTTGCATTAGCAGCTGCTATATGTTCCTGCACCAGATCTGCTGTTTCAGTGTTGAATGGAGCTCTGTTCACCAGGACTTGTACACAGTGCAAAGCAAAGCCTGGTAAGAAGGGGTGGTCAGGGAAACAATTTGAATGCATGCTCCTGATCCAAGCTAAGATGCTAAGATAGGTGCATTATGTAGATGCAGTGTGCATCTTTTGCATGTTGCAAGTGGAGCAGAAAGGCTTCCTAGGAAGCAAAATAGAGCTTGGGTCCTGTACCTTCAGCCTCCATACTCAGGGCTAACCTTGAACATGCTACAGCATGGTCCATACTCTTCTCTTTCTTGTAGTGGTACCCGCTAGATGGGAGCAGGGGAGAATGTGTTATGGTTTTCTTCTTTATTCTGTATTTTGTGTGCTCTCTCCACACCATTACCAGCTCCTAGAAATTTGCCCAAAAATGTGCATGCTGCCTCTGCTATCAGTTCCTGACAGTTGTGGAGGAGGGAAAGTCAGGACCTACTCCAGGGGACTTTGGTGGAAGGAAAAATGTCTTTCCAAGGCCGTGATGAACAAAGGCCTCAAATATTCTTTTTTTTTTTTTTTTAATTAAAAAAATATATTAAAAAATTATATATAAAATTATTTTTTATTAAAAAAAGAAGGAAGGAAGGAAGGAAGGAAGGAAGGAAGGAAGGAAGGAAGGAA